GTGGCCCAAATCGGAATATTGGCCCAATTGTTTGTCACAGGCAATCCCAGGTCCATTGGGTCCATTACTTGGCCTGGAATTGTATTGGACTGATGGGGCTGAGTGTGTTGGGAGGTAGGTGGGCCTTAGAGAAATTGTTGGCCCAGGAGGCGGCCCAGGATATGGGCCCAAACAATTTTTTTCCGCTCCGTCAGCAAGATCTGTGAGCTGAGGGGAAAAGAGAGGACCATCCACGTGTCGGCGGAGCTGAGGGATAGGGTTTGCGCCGCCGATGGAGGAAGCCGGCAGCGAGGGGTTGTTCTTCACCGGCGATAAGTGTACCTGACAAATTGATATAGGAAGAGACCCGATATGCACCTCTGACCCGATTTTGCCGACGACTGACAGCGGTGAGCTTAGATGCCCAGACGGAGCCGGATCTTGAGATTGTTGAGGAGAGGAGCTAGAAGATGGACCGACGGGTTCTATTGCTTCAAAAGATTCGGGAAACAGAGCTCGAGGATGACATACTTCATCGATAGGCCTGAATGAGGTCGGCCGGAGGTCTGGTTCTGGGGGAAGAGATATCGAAGCAGCGAGAGCAGATTTAGGTGGGGAGTGTTCTAAACTGGACGATATCGGATCTGAGGTTGGTAGCTGGTCTGGCACCGTGAGTGCCGGTGCCGCAACGGTGGCCGGAGGCATGGTTAGGCGGTGAACGGACGTGAAGGGGAGGTGGGAAGTAGAGAGAGAAACCTAGAGAGAAGGGAGAGCATTTTTGCCTTGGTTGTGTCTGATGCTGCTAGGTTAGTTGTCTTTTGTTGCTAGGTTTTTTATTTAACAACAAACAACGCCCCGGAAGGGCGGGGGATTGGGCTGGTTCCCCAACTTGTGCATAGATCAACGCCCCAAAACGGGGGCCCAGAATATCAAAGACTACAATCTACAAGGTCTCACGAGCAAATCAAAAGACAAAAGGAAATAATAATACAAAGTATGTCTTCGGGCTAACAGGTGCCCGGAATAAAGATATGATCTAAAGAAAGCAGTAAACCTAATCTACTGAAAGCGGAACAATGGATATCCAAGTTGGTCCCATCCGAGCAAGTGTGCGAAGGCGAAGTGGAGCAGTGTCAGTCTGAAATGTGTGTGTGCCTGGTATGGTAGCGCCAAGGCTGGAAAAGTAGTCAGCAGGTCTGCTCCCCTCGCGAAAAATATGCGTGATCCTGTGATGGACAGACCGCAAAAGAGCTCTAATGCGCATAAGCGGGTGCTGAATCTGCCACGAGCCCTGGTGGCCCGAAGTTACGAGGGTGACGATAGCCACAGCGTCCAGCTCGATCCAAATATGACTAGAGAGGTGGGCAGCAATATGAAGGCAAATCTGTAATGCCTAAATCTCTGCATCGTAACCTAAGGAGGCCTGAAGGGATGTGTGGAAGGCGGTGATGAGGGCGCTAGTGTGGTCCCGGATCAAGCCTCCTCCTCCGGCAAATCCAGTATGGCAATCGAAAGAACCATCAGTGTTCAGCTAGACCCAATGAGTGTCGGGTCGAAGCCAAACAACAGCTCTGGGCGGATGGGGCTAAACAGGCACAAGGGGAGCCACCATGTAGCGGTGTGGTGGCGTGTAGCCTGTCCAGTCTCTGGCAGTGAACCTGCCCAATGATGTGAGGAGTGAAATATATCTCTCTACCTGCAAAACAATGTGAGAAAGCAAAAAAGTGATATCCCAATGCTTCGCACTATTCCTCTCCGTCCAGGTGAACCAAAGGATCAGACAAGGAATGAGGAAGCCCACGTGTCTAAGGTGTGTGCTCTGTGAGAAAAAACTCAGGAGCTCAAAGAAACTGTCTGTGGAGGGTAGGGTTATATGTGTCCATGTGGCAAAATGCTCCCACACTCTCCTCACAATCTCACTCTCTAGAAAAAGGTGGGTAAAGGTCTCGGTCTCATGGCGTCCAGTATCAGAACAATACACACACTGGGAGGGCAAAGAGATCCCCCTCGCATGTAAAACAGTGTACACGGGTATCCGGCGCAAGAGGAGACGCCGAAGGAATACCGAAATGGTAGGGGTGAAAAGATCGCTCTAGATGGCTCCAAAGAGATGATTAGGCCGATCTCTCAGCCTGATCTGCTCCCAAGCGGAGGTAGTAGAAAACACACCTGATGATGTAAGTCTCTACCTCATGCCATCCGAATCGTCCCCCGAGCTGCGTATCTGCTGGATCTGATCTAATAAGTGCTCGCTAAAACCCGCCCCAAGGCCCAACTCCCTATCAAGCTTCCCCCTATCCCACGACCCTTCCGTCCAAAAGTCGTTCAAAAGCAGGAAGGGGGAATAAGACACCTGTCTATCCCTAGACAACGACCTATCACCAAACCACAACTCATCCCAAAAACTAACCTCGCCATCACCAAAACCCAAAAGATGTGATCCTGGGCGCGCCTACCGACCCTATTAAGATGCCGCCACTGTCTGCTACCATGAGCCACCGCCGTCACCCAACAAGGGTGGTTGGCGCGTCTAGGGCAGTACTTGCTGCGAAGGTACTGAAGCCGAAGCGACTTTCCTTCCCTGAAGCACCACCACAACTTGTAAGAGAAGGCAGTAACATTATTCCTAAGGCGGCAGATACCAGGGCCTCCCTCAGAGAAAGGGCGGCAAATAAAGTCCCAACTTACCCAGTGGGTACGTCCTCCCCTCCCGGAACCGTCCTCGTAACCCCAGAAATAACGAGCCATAATCTGGTCAATATCGTCAAGAGTAGACCTAGGGGGGGTCAAGGACCATATATAAGTGAAGCGGAAGAGAGCTAAGGGTACTCTTGATCAGCGCAGGCCGACCACCACAGGAAAGGTATCTATGCGACCAACCAGAGATCTTGTCGATCATCCTCTGTCTAATGTCCGCAAAGAGCACTCTCGTGAGATTTCCCTTATATAAAGGGGCACCGAGATAAGTAATGGGAAGGTCACCGTGCGCAAAGCCAGTGATCTCGTGGATCCGCTGAGCCCACCTTTCCGCGCAGGAGGAGGAGAGGGTGAAGGTGCTCTTCTGCACACTGATCAGTTGGCAGGTAACCGAGCTATAGTGCTCTAGAAGGTGCATAAGCTCCATAGACCCATCATCATCCGCTCGGGTGAAGATGATGATGTCATCTGCATAAAAAAGGTACGATATGGGAGGACCATAGCCACGGGTGTTGTATGTCATCCGTGGATAGTCGCGGATGAAGCCGTCAAGGCAGCGAGAGAGGTAGTCTGCCGCAAGAACAAAAAGGGATGGGGAAAGGGGGTCTTCCTGTCTAAGGCCTATAGAGGAGGGAAAAAAATCAGTGGGGCTACCATTAACCAGGACCAAGAACGTGCAGTGCTCCACACACGCCTCTACAAAACTGATCCACCACTCAGGGAATCCCATCCTAGCCACTGCCTCCCTAAGAAACGGCCACTCCACCCTATCATAAGCCTTAGCCATGTCTAGCATCAGCGCAATGTTCGGTTCACGTTTCTAATCCGTATAGGAGATATCGTGGATCATCTCTTGGGCCAAAAGTATGTTATCACTAATGACCCGGTCCTTGACGACTCCACTCTAGTTCAGAGTGATGAGGGAGGGGAGAATAGGGGAAAGGCGGCCGTTAAGAATCTTCAAAATGAACTTGTTGGTCACGTTACACAGGCTGGTGGGCATGTAGTCGGGCCAAGAGCTCGGATTGGGTCTTTTGGGAATCAAGACGACAGAGGTAGAAGTGAAGGAATCTGACATCCGGTGGCCGGAGAAAATATCCAACATTGCCTCCTCAACGCCAGGCTTGACTATATCCCAGCAGACCTGATAGAGGAGAGAAGAGAACCCATTGGGGCCAGAATCGCTGTTGGGATCAATCCCGAAGACAGCATCCCTAACCTCCTCCCTATTCGGAAGCTCACAAAGGCCAACAAGGTCGACCGAAGGAGGAATGTTGGGAAAGAAAGAGGCGGTTGGGGCAACGAGGGACACTCTGTCAGAGGTAAAGAGGGTCTGTAAGTGAATAACAGCCGACTCCCGAACCTGAGACTCTTGGGTCAGGGATGACCCATCAACCTCAATACTGTGTATGTACGACTTAGCACGCTTTTGCCTAACGAAGCCCTGGAAGAACTTAGTATTCTGCTCTCCCTCGGCCACCCAGCGAACGGCCGCTTTCTGCCTCCAGAAATCCTCCTCCATAAGGAGTCAGAGCTGGTACTCGGCATGGCTGCAGCGCATCACAGTCCTATTCTCCGGAGTGGGATCAAGATCATAGGCCCGCTCAGCCTCCGCGTGCGCACTCTGAGCTGCTGAAAGGCGCCAATGAAGGTTTCCAGAATATCCCAGTTCCACTGTCTCAACCTACGCCGCAGTCTGCCGAGCTTCGNCTCGAGATTGCGCATCCCGAAGAGCCCAGTCGGCTGAAGCCAGGAGTCCCTAACAGTGTCGTGGAAGGAGTGGTGGCGAACCCACATGTTCTAGAACCTAAAGGAAGAACGGCGAGGGGTGCTCGAAAATTGACACCTAATGAGGAGGAGTGAATGGTCAGAACCAAATCGAGTGAGGTGTGAGATGGCTGTCACCGCAAACACCTTCGACCACGCCTCAGAAACCAAAGCACGGTCGAGCCTCTCTTTGAGGTCGTCCCTAACCCACGTAAAGGGCTCACCCTCACATCCAGCATCAATCAACTCCCAGTCCGCCACAGCCTGAGCAAAATCCCACATCTCCCTAGAACGATCCGAACGGCCACCCACACGCTCATTGGGATGCAGAAAGATGTTGAAATCGCCACTAACCATCTGTGGGAATCCCTCCATACTCGCAGCAATCTCACGCAGGGTGTTTCAGAGATCATATCTCCCGACCCTATTAGACTTGGCATAAACCAAGGTGTGGAATATGGACTCGGGGAGGTGGGTCGCAGAAAGCTCGATATGAAGCACCTGATTGGTATCTCGGAGGACCCGACAGGTATAGTCACGCGAGTGGAAGAACTAGATCTTATACGAAGTGTTACCCATGCCCGAGTGGAAGCCAAGACGGCGTGAGTAGTAGTCAAAATCAAGGGTGCGAATCATCGACTCTATAAAGCCAACAAAGTCAAGTCTATGATCATGAGTGAGGGAATGAAGATGAGCGAGAGTGGCCCTATTAGCCAGACCCCGGCCATTCCAAGTAATTGATGTGATAGACATATCAATAGTCGTGAGAGCCACCGGACGGGGTCCGCCTGTGGCAATGCTGGGTCGAGCCACCTGAAGGAGGGGGAGGTGGCGAAACGATAGAAGGGCAGGGGAGACTGTCCATCATGTTACGCGGGGTGTGGGTCTGGTCTTCGAGGGAGGACGCCCTCGGTAGGTGCTCGTAGCCTGCGAGTCATCTGGCTGAGCAATTGGACCCCGAGCGGCACTAGGGACCTGTCCCATCTTCGGGGCAGTCTCTTGTCTGTCAAAGTGGATGAAAAGCGCTAGAGGCGAAACTCTCGCATGAGACGTCATGTTGAGCGCGGTTAAGACCGCATGACTGCTCCGGGATGGAAGGGAGAGAGGCTCCATCTGGCGGAGTACTCGGGTGCTCGCCGGCAGAATGTGGCTGGTTAATAACTATATGTTCAACCCAGCTCCCAATCTCAGCAGAGGGGGGTATGCCAACTCATCCCCTTTCGGGGGAGCGGTGACGGGAGCAGTCCTCATCTCCAGGGGGCGGTCCTAGCTAGATGAATGAACCGACAAAGGAACAGAATTATGAGTACTGTCATCAAATAAATGGATGGACGTGCCACTGGTCGAGGTGTCCGGCTGCTCGAGATCATAAAAAAGAAGGTCATCATCGTCTAAAAGGAGAGGATTTGGAAACCTAGGGAGGTCACTGTTAGAGGGCTTAGTCTCGTCCTCTGCTTCAAAGGGGCGGACAGCAAAGAACGAGTGATTGGCCATAAAGGCCGACTGTAAGGTATCTCTGGGAAGGAAGCCCGAGGCCTTGGCCTTGTGCCTACTGTAGCCAACTGCTCAGGCTGGATAGGATGAGCATCCTTCCCAATTTGGGCAGTGGCGACCATCACAGCCTTGCCCTTATCCTTAGTCCCCTTTGAGGACTAGGGCACATGGATAGAGCTTTTGCCCTTTCCCATCGGGTCCCTCCAGCTGTTGGAGGGTCCCGACTGATGGCGTTGTGGCAGGGTGGGTCGTGGCTTATTGCCACTAATGTAGCAATCAGCCGCTATATGCCCCACATGGCTGCACGACGTACAGAACGCAGGGATCTTTTTATAGATCACCCGCTGAACAAAGGTCTCCGAGCCTTGCTCAATCTCAATCTCATAGACGGGCTCGACCCTGAGGTCAATCTCATCACAAAAACGTGCCACGTTAGCCCTCGACTGAAGGGCCGTCGGGGCATCAATGCGGACCAGCTTTTCAACACACTTTGAAGTGTGGTGATGGAATCCTGGTAATAAAGGTGTGGTGGAAGGCCGGGGAGACGGCACCATACGGGGACGACAGGCGTCTCCGTCTTCGGGTTGAAACCGGAAGAATACTTGAACACCCTAGCTAAGCATCCATACACAAGAATAGAGGTCTTAAGCCAGGCCTCATTATAGTCCTCAGGAAAGTGGAATGAGACTATGAGATGGTTGAAATTATACCACTTATATGAAAATCTACCCTTAAACCCCAATTTACGTTATCCAGCAGATATATCTCGGTGGGGAGGGATAGCATAAGAGAACTTAAAAACCAAGGTGTTAGCTAACTTACCGACAAGGGTGTCAGCTTTGGCCTGAGTGAATCGAACCTTCACTTTGTTTTCCTCCGAGCGGATGATGTTCCCGCAAGCATGGTCATAGCCCCCGTCAAAGGTGAACTCCTTGGGCATCGGGCGTCGGGCACGTGCCGCCCGTGCCTCCATCTCTCCTCCCCGTGGTAGCCTCCGGAAGGAGAGCGGTATATTGGGTGAGGCCGGAAGGGTCTCGGTTGCGGCGGGGATGGTCGATGAATTGCCCGTCGGCGGTGTCCCATTTGGGGAGGGACCAGAAGAACCTGAGGAAAGGGCCGTGACTGGATTGATTGGGCCCTGAACCACCACACCATCTTCACGAACATATAAGCGTCTGGCTAGGGGTCGCCACCGTCTTCATTTGTGAGTAAAGTGGCCGATTTTGGTTCTCAGGTTGTGGGTGCAGTTTTTCCGGCAGGTGGGATGGCGTCGGACTCTGTTCGGGGATCGCCGGCCGAAGGTGGGAGCAGAGGTGGACCGGCGGTCGGTGGATGGGACTCCGAGTACAAACATATAGTTGCTGCAGGGGGAATGGGCTGGAATAGAAATAGGGGGAATAACTGTGTTGGATTTATGGGAAGGCCTAATGATGGTCGAGGCCTTGTTAGGGAGATACGAATTTGTCAGTCCAAAAGTCTGCTGAAGGACTGGATCTGTATTGAGCGGCTTGGAATAAAGGGTTGGCCCATGAGATTTAATGTGAGTTGAGGTCTAAATAGGTGATGTAGTTAGGCTAAAAAAGATAGCAGGCCCAAAGGGATGGAGACTGTCTAGGAGAAGAGAGGAATTGGGCCTTGGGATCGCTGTTGGGAAATTGGGCCTTGGAATCTTAGCTTGGAGAGGGTTTGGGCCATAAGTTTCCGCGTCCGATCTCAGCTGGGGGTTTCCCTTCACCATGCCGCCATCTAGAAGGAAAGGGTAGGACAAGATCTAAGAATCGAGCGATGGTAACGAACCGAATGGGATCGGACAGTTAATGAACTGCTTAGGGTCGACCGGCGGAGAAATTCCTTTTACGGTTGCCTGCTCAGCGTTGGTTTTGTTAGAGGTATGCTGTAAAAGCTCCAATTTGCAGATTCTATCAATTCCATTTTGATCTGGCCATCATATTTCGGTCAAAGTACATATGTTTGCAATTTATTTATTTATGCAATTATACTCCTTGTCTTATATTGAGATAGTGGGGTTCGAAGTGTTTTGAACAGAAAGATCACCTATCGGTTCCTTGTAAGACTAAACTATTCGTTCACAGTCTAGACAGGCAGTGAGACCCCTCTTGGAAAAAGACTGTAGTGTATCCTTGATTCAGTTGGTCTTTGACTAGAGAATTACACTAGAACTTATGATAGGTGTTGAACAGGACCACGGAAGGATAAGATTATGAGACTCACTGACCGTTGCTGTAATCTAAACCTTCAGTAATTGATGCGTACTCTTAAGCTGTAAGATAATATAAAATGGGCATATGTATTCATTACTTATTTATTTGATTTATCAAGGGTGATTCCTATTTTGCTAGGATGACATACTCGATATTTTGGTAAATAAGTGTGTTTATATGATGTGTCGTTATAAATTATTTACAGTCACTGTGTCCCAGTGCGCTGGGTTGATGACGTCCCCGAAATGAGCTCAGGAATGAATATTATGTCAAGCCCTGCAGGCGGATGTGTTATCCGGCATAATGATTAAGGATCTAAGTGGTACTAGTTTCGAAATGTATAAGAAGTTGATTATTTATTTTGTCAGTAATATAATTAATCAACGGACGTTATATCTTAAACATGGAGAGATAAATCGATCAATTGGATTAATATATTTAATAAGTGGAAACGAATTAATTGTAATTCGGAGCTAAATGGGGAGATCAATAATATTACTCTAGTGGAATGTTTTATTATTTAATTCCAAGATTAGAAATTAGGAATTAATTATATTCCATAATTCCCTAAGGATGAAAATATTCTTTCTAATATATTACCTAGGGTTAGAAGACTATGGAATCTTCTAGAAGGTAATTAATTATTAGGAATATTATCCTAGATGGGAAAAGGGAATGGAAGATAATAAGGATTCCTAAACCTTAAGTAATAAGCCCATATTTAGCACCTCCTTTAGGTCCATATTGTAGCCCATAAATACACTAGGTCCCCTAACCTCTTGAATATGCTTTACACGTTTTTCTCCCCGAAGGACTGCAGAAATTCGACCTCTTCAAGCGAGAAAAAAAAAGAGAGAGATTCTTCTTCGAATGAAAAATCGGTTAGCACCGTAAGGCCTTAGAAGAAGATGATCAAGAGGTTTTGAGAAATCTAATAAATCGCTACACCAAGATTTACTAGAGATCATGTAAAGGTCATACAATAGAAGATTCGAAGGTTGTTGATTCATG